AGGAATGGTGTCTCCAGGGCAGACCTCAGTCCAGGGCCAGTGCTTAGGCTCGCAGTGCCTGCCACGTGAGGGGGGGACCACTCGTGGAGCTCAGTTGAGGAGCTCGGTTGTCACCGTGGTGCAAGGTCCCGTCTACACAGGAGGCCCGCGGCGCTGTTGGCCTTGCCTCCTGAATGCTGGGAGCTGGCCAGTGTGTATGGAACAGCAGGGCGGAGCCGGGCCAGGGCAGGAGAGAGCTCACTGCCAGAGCTAACGTGTACCCCTCCTCTGCTCGACACAGCCTAGTTCACCCCCACCACCACAGCAGTTCGTCGTCCAGCACCCCCTGTTTGGAAGCCCAGTCACTAAGACAAAAGACCCTCCACGCTATGAGGAGGCCATCAAGCAGACACGCAGCGTGCAGTCTTCCCTTCCAGAGGTGAGTGAGGGGACTCTGGGCCCAGGGATCGTAGCCTGCCATGTGCCGTCCTCAAACTCTCAGCAGCCCTCTGCTGTATCCCTTCTGTAAGACTGACTTGATTAGAAACACAAACATCGTGGCCGAGAGCCTGCATTGTAGTGGATCTGTAAAACCGAAACGTCTTTATGAAGCATTCCGACCAGCATTTAGCAGCAGTGTAACCTGCAGCGACCACGTGCTCAGAAAGTTGGGATGTGGCTCAACTTTTCCTTTGGAGAAAGAATCAATGGCATTGGAGATAAAGCTGGTCATGACCAGGGCTCGTACTTGATACAGGTTCCTCTTTTCTAAAGCCACCATTTGGCAGGCCAGCATCAAACTGGCCCTCTGCTGCCCAGCTGACCGTGAGGGCCACTCAGCCCCTACATGCTTCCACTTCATCTCTCTGCTCCCTCGTACTTCTGCCCCTGGCAAGCAGCCCGCGCAGGGAACTGTGTCATATTTTGAGCAGATGCACTTTGGAGGTGACAGACCTGAGGCTCTCCTGGCTTTGCCACACTTGACACCCACCAGGTGGCCTTGACTAAGGTGCTTACCCCTCCTTTGAGCCTTCTGCGTTTACTGATAAAATAGTAATAGTCTCAGCAGTACCGAGGGATAGGGGAAGTTAAGAGTTCCTATTTGTGAAAGCATCTGGCCCACAGAGGTGCCCTGCAATGACTGCACCTGTCACGTGTTACCCTCATACTGCTCCTTGTCCCCGTCTCTCTAAAGCTTCCTTTCGAAGCTTAAAACTAAGAACCCCAGCTTCACAGAGGCTGCAAGGAGTGAGCCTGACTACCCCAAGGTGCTAAAAGTGGGCAGCAAGACTGCTCATTCCTCGTGGCAGACAGCAGGAGGACATCATGGTGTGCCGGCTCCCCTGCCTGTGTCCCATGGAGACTTATGGGCTGTAGGTCTGGGCAGATGGTGGCTATGCATGCAGTAGCTGTGCTGCACCTAAAGAACACAGGGCCACGGCTCAGCACAGCTCCCAGCAAGCAGCCCACCAATGCATCCTCTGTGCAGGGAGCAGGCGTTCGGACAGGGGTTGCCTTGACCTGCTCTGCAGCCTCAAGGGGCAGCATGCAGTTTGACTCCCTCACAGAGGACAGCCCGACTGTCTAGGGCCATGGTAGACTGCCTCTCTGAAGAAGTGGGCAGTTAGCACAGACTTCTCTGTGTCCACTTAGTGCTGATGGAAGATAACTTTTCTAGCTGTAAAGTGTTCTGTAGTTCCAGTCGCAGCAAGGGCCCTTATTTTGTTGGCAATAAGAACTAAAATAGGGCCAGCCCCGTAGCCCAGTGTTGAGGGAGCCAGACCCCACATGGCCAACAGCAGTTAGGATCCTGACCCAGCACCTTGAACATGATGCTAATAAGTACCTGTGCGTACAAACCCCAAATCCCAACAGGATGGAGGGGTCCCATAAGTACAGCTTACTGTATGTCGGATAAACTTCAGTAGAACTGAAAAAAGATAGTATGATCACATTTACTCACATACATTGTTACCTTTTAAAATAAAGTATTAGACATTTCTGAAAATGTAGTGATAAAAAATAGGGGAGGAGAGGCCAGCAGGTGGCATGGTGGTTAAGGTGCTGGATTCTCACATTCCACCACCCTTCAAGTCCCAGACCTAGAGGCTTGCTTTCTCACTTGCCTTCTTTCTCTGGTAAATTGAAAAATAATAATAATAAAGGAAATTAAATAATTCTTTCTTTTTTTAATAGAGATTTTTGTTATAGCGCATATACGCTCACTGGAGAGACAAAAAGTAAGAAATCACCCCCTGGGGGGATGGCCACACCACAGTCCCTTCTCCATTCTCCTCTTGGGATTTTGGTCACACATGCACTCATGCCCAATGTGAGTTTCAAGCCACCGGGTCCAGGATTCCATCTGTGGCCAGATGTGTGGGAGTCCAGCGACGTAACCATTTCACCATCTGCTGATCCCTAAAATTAAATAATTCTTAAAAGAGTAAAAATAGGGGAGTGTGGAAAAGTCAGCTGAGTTAGACACTAGTCGCATTCTTGCTGTCAGCTGACCACCTATGACACCTCGTGTGACCTGTTGTCAAGATTATCATGTAATGGATTCAAAGCAGACGTTCTGTGAAGTCCATGAGCACTCTCAGTTGTATAATGCTTCCAGGTTTGTTTGATGGGAAACTCATTTATATTCTCCATCCTTGTAGATTTCCAACGCACATAGTCAGCAGATGGACGACCTCTTCGATATCCTCATCAAGAGTGGAGGTAGGTCAAAAGTCACGTCAGACCCCCAGAGGACCGAGGACGCAGTCTCTTAATGCAAGCATGAGGAAGTTTTTCTCTAGTGCTCATAGCTGGTCTTTGGATACTAAGAAACAGATTCTTCTAATTCTAACTGAATTTACTGCTAAATCAGTTACTTAGGCTAGTAAGACTATGAATACGCTAAATGAAGGAAGAGCCATTAATCCAGGTTACAACAGTAAGATAATCTACAGATGTATCTGCAGGTACCTGCCTGCTGACCAAGAATGGCCACTGGCAGATAGCAAAGTGGAATCAGATTCACCTTCCCGATTGAATACCTTCAAAACTCATCCCACGTGACTCAGTCGTACTGAGAGGAAGACACCCCAAGGGTAGCTCTCCCTCAGCTTACAGATCTTTTTAAAATAAGTCTAAAATCAGTATTTCAAAAATAATAAATGCTATTTAGGGATAGTTCAAGTATTCCTAAATTACCCAGATAATGGGTAATGACTTTTTAAATAGTAATCAAAATTTCTCTACTCATAGCAAGTACTATTTGACATTGAGGTTCGTATTCTAGTTACAGTGTTTGGCGTAACAGAATTCTTGATATTTGATTATAAATATATATGTACAAATGGTATATTTTGCTAAAAACTATAATGGCCTTACAAAATACTAATCTCATGGTACTTCTAAACTATAGAAAATCTTAAAATAGACATTTCATGCTCTAATTCTTTAGGATTTAAAAAAATAATGTTTTTGCCAAATCTGGTGAAAACAACTTTTTTAAATGATTGATAAGAATAATTTGTACAACCTAAACTTACAAATTGTTGTAAAGATTTCAATTTTGAGTTATTTTCTAAAACAGATGATTTTTCTTATAACAAAGAATCCAGTAAGTACATTATTTCATCTTATTTTAGTATACCAATAGCAGTAATAATGAGAACAAGTTGAGAATCCCTAATCCGAAAATCCAAAATGCTCCTAAATCTGAAACTTTTTGAGTGCCCACATGATGTCACAAGTGGAAAATTCCACACCTGACTTCATGAGGCGGACTTAATCAACACACTGCCATACACCAGTGGTGTAGAACATCACCTTTGGCCGTGTATGTGAAGTGTAAATGAAACATAAGGGGTTTCCTGCTTAGACCAGAGAGCCCTAAGATATATCTGACTCATATGCAAGTATTCCAAAGTCAAAAAAAATCTTCAAAATCTAAAACGCTCTTGGTCCCAAGCCTTTCAGATGAGGGATGCTCAACTTGTAGTTGAGGACAAGACAGTTTACTTAGATTGCAATTAAAGCTTTCAAATTAATTCCAGAGATGACCACAGATAATAAAAAGGAACATAACATTGTCCAAAAACGCACAGAGCACACAATCGACAGTTCATTTGTGGAAATCAAGTTTAAGTTTTTCACTTCTCACCTATTTACTCCTTCCAGTAATTGAGCTTTAAGAGCTGTAATTAATTAAAACTATTTGTCCTGGTATATCTGCATGTAAATGAAACCAATCAAATCCTCATAACAGTAAAAAAGATACTTTATTCATATACATGTAGCTAAGTGAATGGTATCTTTTTTTTTTTTCTTGAGAGGTTTTCACTATAGGGCGCGTGCGCTCACCAGACATACAGAGAGAGACATAGAGACAGAAAGCGAGAAATCACCCCCCGGGGGGATGGTCATGCCGCAATCCCTTCTCCTCCATTCTCCTCTTGGGATCTTGGGCACGCACGCACACACGCCCGGCGTGAGTTTTAAGCCACCAGGTCCAGGACGCGAACTGCGGTCAACTACGTGGGAGTCCAGCGACATAGCCATTACGCTAACTGCTGGTTCCCGTGAACGGTATCTTTAACAGATGATTCATTAATTTGCTTCTTGACCTTGCAAGAAATAACACATAATTGGTGCAAGAAATAACATGTAATTACAATATTTACCAAATCCTCAAGGTCTTATGTAAACTCAAGAGAGTGACAAAAAAGTGAGAGAAAAAAGCAAACAATCCATCTCATCTTAACAATGAAGGTCAGGAGATCTGTGCGTTGACTTTAATTTAGAAGTGTAATATGATGGCATGGCATCTCTCCAGAACTTTCTACAGAATGCATATGGCTAAATTGGGCACACATCCAATTATAATGATGAAAAAGAGGACAGTTAGCTCTTTCATAATACGCAGAACATACTTTAGGCCTCTGCACAGACCCAGGATATACACTTCGACATTCACCCTCAGAGTGTCATGCTGCAGTAAGAGCCGAGGCCTGCAGTGAAAGCCCTGTCTTAACCCCTTCCATGACTGAGAATAAGGACCCAAAGTTCAGGTCGTCTCAAATCGCTGATTCCTGTCTAGTGGGATATAACTTCTTTTAATCTCTATCTCAACTGAAAAGAACTAAAAGCATATAAGAATGTAATCAATGTATGTATTTATCTATTTAACTAAAATGGTCCATCGTCCTAGAATCCTACAATCCATGGATTATACCTGACCGGTAGCTTTCTCTTCCTGTCTCTAAGATGGACATGTATAGAAGGAATCGCCAAATAGCAAAATAACTAAAGTAAAAATTGTAAATGCATAAGTAACAGTTTACTTACTAATTAATACGATTATTTTACACAGAGATCCCCCTCCCTATAAAAGAAGAGCCTTCTCCTATTTCCAAAATGAGACCAGTGACAGCCAGCATCACCACAATGCCAGTCAACACAGTGGTGTCTCGGCCTCCACCCCAAGTCCAAATGGCACCGCCAGTGTCCTTAGAGCCAATGAGCAGTTTGTCGGCCAGCCTGGAGAACCAGCTGGAAGCTTTCTTGGATGGAACTTTACCTTCAGCCAATGAAATTGCTCCACTCCAAAGCAGCAGTGAAGACAGAGAGCCCTTCTCTCTGATTGAGGATCTCCAAAATGATCTGCTGAGTCACGCGAGCGTGCTGGACCATTCCCACTCACCCATGGAGACTTCAGAGACCCAGTTTGCTGCAGGCACCCCCTGCCTGTCTCTTGACCTTTCCGACTCCAACTTGGACAACATGGAGTGGTTAGACATTACCATGCCCAGCACAGCTTCGGGGCTCACACCTCTCAGCGCTACCGCACCAAGTATGTTCTCTGCTGACTTCCTGGACCCACAAGACCTGCCATTGCCGTGGGACTAATGTCACAGGTTTCTTGTCTCAGAGTTTGTAAGGTCTAAGAACATGAAGAGTCTAAAAGGTCAGTTTTTAGAGGTAGGTCCATAGTTGCATCATTGCAATTAAAATACGTTGTCACAGGAAGAATCGGATAGAAGGCCATAGCCTGGCAACCGAGCTTGGAAACTTTTCATTGTGTTTGACAGTGAATTTCTACAATTCAGTAGAGCACGGGCCTTCTGAAAAAATACACTAGTCAAAGAAGGCCTGCCTGTTTCTCTAGACCATAGTAAAGAATGAAAAGTACCTTTAGCTACAAATACAAAGGTAATATATGCAGGAAGATGACATTAGGATTCTCTGGTAATCACTTAACTACATTTAAACCTCTACGTAAAAGGCAGACAGCTCCACTCAAAAAATAAGCCAACGTGAGGGAGGTGAGAGGTCACTGCACTTAGTACTTCTTAGCGATGGCCTGAGCCAGGCCCAAGGCACGCAGGGCTCAAAGGCAGTGGACAGCCCTGGCCAGTTTGGTGACAGCTTCCAGCTGAAGACTTTGTTAACAGTCAGAAACCTATGTGATTTTGTGTGTGTATTGTACTTTATTTTGTGGTTTTTGGAATCTTCAGATTTCCAAATTTAAATCTAAATGGAAGATCTTTAACCATAACCAGAAGATGTCTACAAGATACTGTCATAAACAATCCACTGTAAAAAGTCCAGGTATATTGGTAACACTGAAAATCCTATTAGCAACCTTCTGGATTGAGTAGGTTGATTTTATTTTGTATATTAGATATTCGTGTGTACACGCTCGACATTGTGATTTGTACAGCCTGCATTGGGGCGAGGAAGTAGTTAGCCAGTGGACTTACTTTTTTCTAGAACTCAAATCTTTCTAGACTACTTGAGCCACATGTGTTCTGTATTTAAAGAATTGCTGACTAACTTTCAGGAAATCAGACCCATCTCAAAGAACCAAGTAAAGGCGTTAGCATAAAATATCTTTCTGAGCTGGTAAGTTAGAAGAATGGAAGGGAAAGGGAAAGTTCATGACCAGCCCCAGACGTTCCCATGGTGAAGCACAGGTTAGCCGCCCACTGGCCATCAGGGCCCAGCCTAGCTTTCTTCTCTGTCACTAACCCCTAGTTATTTTACAGGCTTGTAACTGGATGTCCTACCCAAGCTCTCACTATCTTGTCAAGCCTAAGACTGAAAAACTGGAGGTTTTGTTTTGTTTGTTTTAATATATATAGAGAAAAATATATTACATATCTGTGGTTATAGTTTCTTAAGAATTTTCCAAATTGCCAACTATGACAGGATTTCCAAAATTATTTCAAGGCTAGTCATTTAAGTATATGATGAAATGTAAATAACTGAAAAAAAAAAAAAGGAAAAAAAAAACACTAAAATCTACCAAAGAGTGTGGAGGATTTAGTTAAATAAGAATATGCACCCTCCACCTCACCCTCGTGTAAACCCTAAGGTCGAGCTGGTTTCCTCAGGTCACTAAGTGAAGAGTATTTCCTAGTGACACACAGGAGGCGACCTGATCTGTTATTTAGGAAGAATTGGTGAATCATTCTGGGTTTGTGTGTTGCCTGAGAGCTGATTTTATCTCCGATTTGATGGTTGGTACATTGAACTACAGGTGAGGGAGATCCACCTCTCAGCAGGAGCACACTGGAGCCCCTGTGGATCCTAACGAAGGTGCTGGCAAGTGCTGGCATGCCTTCCGGTGATCAAGGCAAAGCCCACTGTGCTGGGTTCAGTGGAGTGGGTCTGTGGGGAATGGTCTGCACGTGGAGACATTAGTGATCCAATCCGTGGGACACAGTGACTCTGCTAACCAAAGCACTATCTCTGACAGGCCCAACGAGGTGCCCCCTGCTGGGTGGATGCGAGTCCTTCTGCCAGTTCCTCCCAAGGGCCCAGCCTCCAGGGCCAACCGATTTAGTCGGGACCTTTTCTTATGGATGGTCTTGGCTGTGGGTTTTTGTCTAGGATGTATCAGGTCCATACTTAGACTCTGAGCTTCTCCTTCATTCAGATTCGACTGGCTTATCAGCACTATCAGTGAGACTATGGAAGGCAACTAAATAACTAATGCTGTTAACTCTTGTTGAATAACTATATATCTGTAATCCTGAATTGTGTACACAGTTTTCTAAAAGCCCTCAGGTCCCTTTAGTGCTCTTTAAAACAGGGTTTGAAACATGCCACAGAAAGGTTGCTCTCCAAACACGCACAGTGCAGTGCAGAGAATGCCGTCGCACTAGCTTGCTCTCTTCCACTGTGACTTGACATCCCCATGGCGAATGCGTTCAGTCCTCTCTATGCCAGTATTTCGTTTTCTGAAAGGCAAGGGATCTGTAGCTATTAACTACAAGCACCATTCCACTTGGCCCTCCTCTCCTGCCCGAGTCGCCAGCCAGGCTGCTGTGACATAAGCGGGTGCTGCTCCCCAGGATCTTGAGCACATGTTCCAGGTTAGCGTGAGTACACGGCCGGGTCCCCACGTGCATGTGACATGACCAAAAATCTACCAAAGAGTGTGGAGGATTTAGTTAAATAAGAATATGCACCCTCCACCTCACCCTCGTGTAAACCCTAAGGTCGAGCTGGTTTCCTCAGGTCACTAAGTGAAGAGTATTTCCTAGTGACACACAGGAGGCGACCTGATCTGTTATTTAGGAAGAATTGGTGAATCATTCTGGGTTTGTGTGTTGCCTGAGAGCTGATTTTATCTCCGATTTGATGGTTGGTACATTGAACTACAGGTGAGGGAGATCCACCTCTCAGCAGGAGCACACTGGAGCCCCTGTGGATCCTAACGAAGGTGCTGGCAAGTGCTGGCATGCCTTCCGGTGATCAAGGCAAAGCCCACTGTGCTGGGTTCAGTGGAGTGGGTCTGTGGGGAATGGTCTGCACGTGGAGACATTAGTGATCCAATCCGTGGGACACAGTGACTCTGCTAACCAAAGCACTATCTCTGACAGGCCCAACGAGGTGCCCCCTGCTGGGTGGATGCGAGTCCTTCTGCCAGTTCCTCCCAAGGGCCCAGCCTCCAGGGCCAACCGATTTAGTCGGGACCTTTTCTTATGGATGGTCTTGGCTGTGGGTTTTTGTCTAGGATGTATCAGGTCCATACTTAGACTCTGAGCTTCTCCTTCATTCAGATTCGACTGGCTTATCAGCACTATCAGTGAGACTATGGAAGGCAACTAAATAACTAATGCTGTTAACTCTTGTTGAATAACTATATATCTGTAATCCTGAATTGTGTACACAGTTTTCTAAAAGCCCTCAGGTCCCTTTAGTGCTCTTTAAAACAGGGTTTGAAACATGCCACAGAAAGGTTGCTCTCCAAACACGCACAGTGCAGTGCAGAGAATGCCGTCGCACTAGCTTGCTCTCTTCCACTGTGACTTGACATCCCCATGGCGAATGCGTTCAGTCCTCTCTATGCCAGTATTTCGTTTTCTGAAAGGCAAGGGATCTGTAGCTATTAACTACAAGCACCATTCCACTTGGCCCTCCTCTCCTGCCCGAGTCGCCAGCCAGGCTGCTGTGACATAAGCGGGTGCTGCTCCCCAGGATCTTGAGCACATGTTCCAGGTTAGCGTGAGTACACGGCCGGGTCCCCACGTGCATGTGACATGACCAAAGACGAGACGTAAGGCCTCTTTGACCTAATCCAGTGGACCTAATGGTAAGTGCAGTGGGAAAGGGTGTTTGAGGTTAGTGTCACTGCCATTAGGGCACAGGTCAGAACAGCCGGTGGAATTGTCAGTGTGCATGTGTGTCGGTTAGCAGTGGTACTCCCGTGCATCGTGGTGAGAATAACATATTGCCAGGAAAGTAACTCACTTGCAGAAACCTACTTTCACACATCCCAGTCTTACTTTCCTACGTCTTCTCTAAATGCAGGGGCTGATTCCCCTGTGTTGGGATCAGCTCATCTTACTGGGGCTGAGCTAAGAGCAGAAAGTCATGCCAGACCTTCTCTCCAGTCTTGTACTTAGGGGGATGTGGTCATCTTGTACATCTCAGCAGAGCATCTTTAGGGATGCACATTCTAGTTTTTTCCGGAAATGTGCAGTCTACTGTATAGCATTTGCCATGTGTGTACATAGATGTATTCTGAGTTTGTGGGATTCCTTGCTTAGATACTATTTGTGTTTGTTTCATATGACTATTTTTATAATACTAAAGAGATCTTATTTAAATTTCCTTGTTAAAAACCACATGAATCTGTGGTCCATGTGACTGACACCCTGTGGTTTGGGGGCGCTGTTTGGGAGCAGTAGCGAGGGCATTCTGGTTGCTTCCAGGCTGCTGCCCACAGAAGGCAAAGGCATGGTCACGAGGTCGCACCACTGACTGCGCTGTCCGCGGACCTGAGTGGCATTCCAGGTGCGTTACCTGTTGAGTCACTGAAGCCAGCTCAGGCCCGCTCCCCCCACAGCCCCAGATCATTGCAGGCCAGGGAGCTTTCTTCAGAGTCCTCTCAGAATTCCTAGGCTGAAACCAGCCACAGCAGTTGACAACATAGCTGTCCTCACAAGTGGCAGGGCAGTCCCTCTACTGTCCTCAAACGAACTTGGCATTAGAGAAGCAGTGAAGCACCTTGCCAGGCTCGAAAGGCTCTGCAAGGAGCCACCTCTCAGCACAGGCTCTTGAGCTGTTTCCATGCACCTGCACGGTGGCCAGCCCCCACCCTCCATACACACACTGAGTTCCTG